ATTTCGTTTGGAGTGGAGCGAGCTAACCACTTGGCCGCCCTATCTCCCTTAAGGTGGCAATATTTTTTTTTTAATCTGTTCTTGAGTAAAAGCTTGCGCAAAAAAACTGACCATGAAAAAGAAAAGAAAAGGAACGAGAAAATGAAGCTTATATTAAGAGGCTTGCACATCTCAGAGGAAACACATTAGGAAGGCTCAGCGCCCAAATTTTGCTTTGTTTGTCTCTGGTTTTTGCTATGCTGTTGTTTTTGAACTGAATTTTGACAGCAACTGATCGTCGGAAATAGAGTTTAAATTTCAGAGTTATCCAGCAAATCTTTTAATTTCAATATTATTGAGAAGATAGTCGTCGTCAAACGAGGTATTTGACAATCATTGCCGGCCAATTAGCTGATCAGCGCGCGCGAAAAGCGCAATTCACCTGTGCGCTTTATACTAATTTGGTTTATTTATTCATAATTTTCGCATCGATACTAACAAATCGTTCCTCACAGTTTTCTTTAATTCTGTAGCATACAATGATAGTTTCAGCTGAAATCCAAGTAAGAGCTCTGTGTAATGGGGCGTTAATTTTGTTCTTTAAGGTTCAAGTGTCATTAGGACAAAATGGGGATAATATGAAATCAAAGGGCTCTTGGAGCCAGCTCATACATATTATGGCTTAAGTTTGTATTGATTTCTTGGACTTGTTGAATATAGAGAAAATTGACTTTGGTTTATGTGAACTTTCAAGACTTTTGGAAAAATTTTTCTTTTATTTTTGGGCAGTTTTGTAATAAGAAAACTTGTCCATTCGTCGTGATGAAAATTGGAAAAAAGGTTGTGCGGGCCGGATGTGGGATGGGCAGAGGTCATTAGGTAGACAGTGTCCTTTTCGTTGGTGTGTGTGTTTGTAGGACAAAGGGTGGGCTGGGTGGACATAATCAGGCATCAAATGTTGCTCTGGCAGCAAAATATTAGTAATGCTCATCTATCACGATCATTTGCACTATTGTGAAATATTCCTAGCCCGTTTCTTGATATTTTTTTTTAACAAAGCGGCCATTGCTTTTGGTTCTTACCAAAGCAGCCACAATCGTTCCGTATAGTCTGATTTTCACATTGTCTAGTCACCAAACAGACAAAAGATAAAACCACCAGAAAAGTAAACAAATGGGCAGTCACGAAAGCATGCGCAACGCTGCGCTTTTCCCTATTAAAATTCGCCGGTTCATCATGTAAGCTAGTAACAATATAAGGCACATATGTGAAAATCAGAGTGTGTATACCCTTGAACGTTGATAATATATCAAGTCGAAGGAACAGTCTTGGTCTTGGTTCGCATTTTTGTCAACAAAATGAACACATTTCGGTTGAAAAGATGAAACGAACGGACCACGTGCAAAGCTGTCAATTGTTTCTCGAATTTTGCGTGTGTTAAATATTCAATAGTGACATCTCATTTACACTTATATCTACATCTACTTTAATTAACTTGGTAAATTCTGTGCAGACATCACACCAACCAACTCGCACGCAAAGTGAGAAGACTACATGATGGCTTGAAATTATATTAAGAACGATTGTGATCAAGACGCGGGCAAGGAATATTCCACAACTGTGCAAATAATTGTGAAAGATGATCGCGGAAAGCGATTGCGTGACGCTCGGTAAGTTGGAAGATGACATGTTATCACGTGCCAGACGAAAAAACAGTATAAATTATCAATCTGCAATTTGTGCCCAGTCTGCAGTCTGTAGTCTGCACTTTGCATCCGGTCTGCAGCCTGCACTCTACAGTCTGCATTTTGTACTGACCGGATTGGTGTTGCTGTTTTTGTTCGAGCGAGCCTCAAGTTAAACTATCTTGGCCGCTGTGATTGATGTGTGAACTGTATGTCGAAGAGCTCCCGAGGACAAGCACAATGATAGAGCAATGATTACTTTATACTAACTGAAGACGAATACAAATGCACGGCTTACCAATATGACTACCCCTGATGCTCTTTTGCGTGGTCACAGCGTGTGTTGAAATGAACCCGCTACGGGTGTGAACATTTCGGCTTCTCGATTCAAGTTGCATTTTAGAAGTTCGGAAATGTGATTTGAGGTTATTATTCTTATTAACCCATAAAAACGTTTTATTTCTTTCCACGTGAGTTTCTGAGCTCATCGAAATTGATTTTGACTTTCATTAAGTCGGGAGGGGTAGCATGCGAGACTACTTCCGTTTACAGTCCGCAATGCAACTTCCGTCTACGGAATACAACTTCCGTCAACATCTGCTTCACCACAATACCTCATTCTTTGCTTTCAGCATGAATGAGCGAAAAATGAGAAAAATCTAACCAAAATCATTCTAAAAGAATTTCTAGGAAGAGTACTAGAAACACGCTTATTTAGGGCCTAACTAGTGAAATTGCAGCAAAGAAAACAATGAGAAAGCCGGATTTTTACCCACATGGCTTGAAATATTGTTTACGTCACAAAATCACGCAACGCTTCTGACAGTTATCACAGTAGGTAAATAATCGCGCAAGAGTGTCACGCCAGTACCAGAAAAGGTGTCCCGCAAGGGGTGTTACGCATCACATTGTGTATATTTTTAAAAAAATTCCGGGTTTTACAATTTGGGTCGTGAGCTGAAGTCCGAGTGACCTAAGTGTGGGCCCCAAGTAAAACGATTTTGCTCAAGAATGTTTGACTTGTATGTTAGCACAGTAAAAACCGGTATTCACAAAAGGATAGACAGTGGTTTGTATCCCGTACAATGACATGCCACGCAGTTGTAGACTAATGAGAAGTCGAGGGATAGGGAATCCCCCACAGAAACATTACTACATATTGTTGCTAAGGACGCTTTTACAGCCTAACACGCTTTCACGGACTAACAGTTGATCAAGACTGAAAATCAACGATAATGGTAAGTACATCTCTTTATCACAAATTTTGTTAGCTTACATTTACTAGTGTAGACTTTACAAACACTCTGGTCCCAGCTGTTCTTATTTTAGCATTTCTTTACCATGTACTAAAACTTTGCCTTTAAACACTCTCAACTGCAACAAGAAGGATGAAAACGTCAGGGTTACTTGAAATCGTGTATTAGCGTTAATCAATACTCGTTTATATACGAACAGAAATGATTTATATTATTTAGCATGGAAATTCTCTGAGCACGATACAAGAAACAACCTGAAGGACTACAAAAATTAACATAATGTTCGACTACCATGCACAAATTATTTGAAAAATAGTACAAGTTAACGTGGCACCACATTGTGGAATAGCCTTTCTTGCGAGGCTAGGTGCGCGGAATCCCTCGTGTTGTTCAACCGTGCAATCAGCAAAGCTCTCTGAGCTATGGCCGCGATTCAGGGAAAGCAGCTTTTTAATATAGTGTTGTTCACAGTTACATTTATAGTTATGTAGTTATAGTTTGATCTTCCAAAAAAAAGCTGATGAATTGCCCGTGAATAGATTAAGTTTATTGATTAACGGGTTTCCGGATTTGATATCCGATGCAGTTTTCGGTTTTTCCTATTTGACCTATTTGGGTTCCGGTTTCTTTTCGATTAAGCGCCTCCACTGATCTCGAATAGCAGCTAAACGCAAGTGTTATCGAGAGGAATGCGTGAAAAACCAATTGAAATATCGCAGGGCCCCCTTCCCCAGGGTGGGGGGAAGGGAGGGTACGGCTACACGTAGGGTACGGCTAAGCACGGAACATTGCCAGAGTTTCTTTATC